CAAAGTTTTTCTAAAGAATAACATGTACTGCTGGTGTGATTTGTTATCTTTGTGTTTTACACAGCATTTTTCTCAATTTACTAGCAAAGAAAGCCTGTTTTGTACATTTATAAAAACAAATGAGGTACAATACTGAGCATGTGCTCAGGGCTAAACACGGAAGCAGCATAATTGCTAAGAAAGTTGAGACAGTTAGCTTTCCAAGAGGGATAAGAATATAGTATGAATGTTAGTGTTTGGTGAGTTTGAAGCTAAAGCTTCAGAGGTGATCAGATGTGACTGCTGAGTTGATGGATTGTGAGTAAACATCCTTATCACTGATATTGTCAGGATTTGGTGTTGGATTGAGGACCCAAAAGCAGAGGCAAGTAGGCAGAGGTGAATTTAGGTGGGTTTAATGAGGTTCACAGGAATAGAGGCAGGAAAAAAAAAATCCAACAAAATAACAAACAAACCAGAACCAAGGAGACATCAGGGGAAACCAAACTCTAAGAGCCAGGGAGAGACGAGGTAAGCAGACCGTAAAAATTCAAAAAATATCCACTGGACTTGGTTTTCAAGATTTCAAGACTTTTCGCCACCTCTCCAGGAAGCTTTCTCAATTCAAATTTGAATTGCGTGAGGTTAGGGGGTTTTTCTGTCATAGCTGCTAATATTCAGAAGGCTGCTCGAGATCAGATTCAGTTCAGGGTTCATTATCAACGCATTCATCGGGGATATTGTATTTTTTTTTACTTTGTAAAATTACTCAAAGAAAGGTAAAGAATTAAGTAAAATACTTTAAGTATCAGTAACTTATATTTTGTTAGTGGAAGAAAGTCCCTCCCTTTCATTTCATAAAGGAAAAGAAGATATATTGGGCTATTGCAGTCCTATGCATAATAAAATAAGACTAAAAAGCTAAACCGGAGGGTGTGTTCCAATTACAGAGGAATCACACTCTTAAGCCTCCCTGGTAATGTCTATTCCAGGTTCTGGAAAGGAGGGTCCGTCGTATAGTCAAACCTCGGATTCAGGAGGAGCTGTTTAGTTTTCGTCCTGGCCGTGGAACACTGGATCAGCTCCATACCCTCAGCAGGATCCTGGCGGGGTGCATGGGAGTTTGCCCAACCAGCCTACATGGGTTTTGTGTATCTGGAGAAGGCATTCGACCGTGTCCCTTGGGGGTTCCTTTGGGGTGTGCTCCAGTATGGAGTACCAGGGCCTTTAATAGGGGCTGTTAGGTCTCTGTATGACCAGTGTCAGAGTCTGGTCCGCATTGCAGGCAGTAAGTCGGACTTGTTTCCTGTGAGGGTTGGACTCCGCCATGGTCACCCTTTGTCACTGATTCTGTTCATAACATTTATGGACAGAATTTCTAGGCACAGCCAAGGTGTTGAGGGAATCTGTCTTGGTGGCCTTAGGATTGCATCTCTGTTATTCGCAGATGATATAGTTCTATTGGCTTCATCAAGGCGTGACATACAGCTCTCCAAATCAAATCCGAATCAGTGCCTCCTAATCCGAGACCATTGTCTTGAGCCAGAAAAGGGTTGAATGCCTTCTCCGGGTTGGGGAGAATGTACTGCCCCCAGTGGAGGAAATTATGTATCTTGGGGTTTTGTTCACAAATAAAGGGAAGATGGAACTGGAGATTGATTGGCGGATTGGTGCAGCGTCTGCTGTGAAGCGGGCCCTGTACCGGTCTGATGTGGTGATGAGAGAGCTGAGCCGAAAAGCAAAGCTCTCGATTTACCGTTCCTATCCTACCGGATCCAAGCGGCTGAAATGAGTTTTCGCCATAGTGTGTCTGGGCTTTCCCTTAAATATAGGGTGAGGAGCTCAGTCAACCGGGGAGGACTCAGAGTAGAGCCGCTGCTCCTCCACATCGAGAGGAGCCATTTGAGGTGGCTCGGGCATTTGATTAGGATGCCTCCTGGACATCTCCCTGGTGAGGTGTTCCAGGCACGTCTCACCGGGAGGAGGCCCAGGACACGCTGGAGGGACTATGTTTCTTTGATGGCCTGGGAGCGCCTTGGGATTCCCCCGGAGGAGCTGGTCCAAGTATCTGGCCCGCAACCCGACCCTGGAAAAGTGAAAGATGGATGGATGGATGGATGGATGGATGGATGGATGGATGGATGGATGGATGGATGGATGGATGGATGGATGGATGGATGGATGGATGGAACAGTGAAAAAGAAAAATAAACTAATGTAATTCTAAAGGTATTTCTGGGACATATTTTATAACTTCAATAGATATGTAGTTTGTTTTTTTATTCATGAGATTCGTGGTAAATAAAGGATTTCAACTAGTAAATGGTTACCACCAAGAAACATGGTAGCAACAGCATCTGGGTTCAAAAAATTACAAGGTTCTTGTGCTGAATAAGATTATATATGTTCCAGCTGAATTGTTGCACTCTTGATCAATATTCTTTGTTCATGGACAGATATGTTATTGTGTCCCTGCAGTACTTCCAGAAACGTCTAAAGGAACCTCTTTCTGCTGAGGTTTCAGTCAATCAGAGTGAGTCGGCACCTCCGAGTGTTTTAGAGGCCAAATTCAACAACGTTATGACCCTCTGTGCCATGCTGCCGCTGCTTCTCTGCACCTGTCTCAACTCCTTTCTGCACTCACTGTGAGTACTACCCTGCAGCTCAGAGAGCTGGACAAGGGCTACATCAAAGTACTATACCGTTTCAATTTAGGCTAATTACGAAGTAACATTCCAAGAGAAAGAGAAGTTCCATATAGAAAGTCATTTTAATTGACTCAAATGTATTGTATTCCATGCATTTAATATCAACCATAGCTATAAATGGGGCGTTTGTTGTGTCATTCTGTCATGCTTGTGTAGTTAAAAAATTATTTCATCAGTAGATCTTACCTAATACCTAACTTTCACACAAAGCATCTGTCGGTGTCCCCTGACAACAGCCTCCCCTTCCTCTCTGCCAGGACTAAAACTAAAAGAGGAAGATGTGAACATAGTCTTCCAGTGTTATAAGGGGATGAAAGCTCCAGGGCCTGTTAAGGTCTGTCCTCTGAAGTCAAAATGAGCTCTATGTAAGACACCACTACCAGGAAGTAGTGGGGTTGAGCATAGAGCCCGTTCTGCTGAAAGGGCATACACACAATGAATACATACAAGGAGTTTTATTTATTGCACATATGGCTACTTGTATTTTGAATTGATTTGATACCACAAGACCCCAAAATGAATGCATCTTTCTTCTTTGCATTCTTGGCTTAGTTTCCCTGCACCCATATAACCTCTTCTGCTCCTGTGCTGACCCGGTTCTGTGCACTCATGTAAGCTTTTGTCACCTAAAAGGTGGTAACCATTGAAGAAACTAAGAATGGCCCCTGATTGGCTATTCTTAAGGAAGTCCCACCCTTTGAGACTACTCTTAGCCTAACTATATGACCTACACGGTGTATCAGTCTGGTAAAGAACTGGTACAGCTCATTTTCAGAGGCACGACCAACGGGGTCAGCGTCATCTGTTTAGAACCAATCAGATAACTACACATGTGATGTAATAACTCCAAGCGAATGTCCTCTGTTTTTGTAATTGAAACAAATCTAGTTAATAACTGGTTTAGTGAAATCCTCCTTAAATAACTTCTTAAATTTAACACAGTCATGAATGTGTTCTGACAGCAGCACCATTATGCCATAAAATAATGATGTCAAACAAATTTGAAACTTAAAACTATAAGCAGTAAAGCTTGTGGCTTTACTGCTTATAGTACAACATCTACTATTAAGCCTTTTTACTTTTATGTCCAGCATTTTGTTACCAAAATTGTTTGTTGATGACAAAGATTGCTCTTGCATTTTGAAGTTCATCTTTACTTAAACATTTTTTAACTCAACATAAACAGCCATTCACTTAAATATGCTTCTACAGTTAGCCACAACCAGAATGAAAAAAGTGGCGTCTGAAGAGGCAGAATTTCCTGAAAAGAAGTCAATCACAGGAGATTATTTTCTCCAGTTGGCAAACACCCTCAAAGTGACAAAAGCTGAGAGGATCAAGCAGAAAGATCCACGTGCAAAAAGGACAGGAGAGACTGCAGGAATTTGGAAGACAAGCCCCGATCGCAGAGAAGGAGTATTTGCTAATGAAAGTGACATATGGGTGTCTTGTGGTATTGAGTGTTCTCTTATAAAGTGTTGAAAATTTTCATAGAGAGAATTCTATGCATGTGTTTATTAAATAAAACTGTTTGTATGCATATTCATTGTGAATGTGCCCTTTTGGCAGAATTCTGACTTAATTATCTCCTCTGCCTGAAAAAAACTGTTCTTAAGACCTAACAACAATAACCTTCAGCCTCTGATAAAAAAACAGACAAAAAAAATTCACTAATGTTGTTGCATCACACATCAGGTCTTGTGTGAACATGTGTCCAAATCACGACCCTACGCTCAAAAATACAGTACTGTAGATCAACAGCCAGACCTCTCATTGTCATAAGGCGAGGACAGATGGACCCAGTATTCAAGGAGAGACAGTCAGTAGGAAAGTTCAAAACATTTATTAAATAAACAAAACAAAAGCGGAGCTGTGGCTCGCGGACACTGGAGGCGGGGGGTGGGGCACCGCCCAATCTCAGACCCTCTAGGGGAGAAACACAGGTAAGTGACCACGATCATCTGACTGAAGATGATGTTCTCAGTGAGTCACTTACCTGGTTTAGCAGTTCAGTCCATACCCCTTGAGGGGTGCAATCCAGCCGATGGGCTGACAGCTGACGCAGTTCGCGTCACCCAGAGTGTCCCCAGTGCTGCAGCTCCGGAGGAGTTGGGGGAAGCCAATCCTGATCAGGGATGCAGATCAGGCAGGAATAGATAGAAAAGGTTTCAGATCAGGCAGGAACAGAC